TGAGAGATTTAGGAGGTAGTTGAGGACCAGTGATGGCCGTCCACCCGAATGTGTTTCCGTTGTCGGTGTGATAAGTCGATAATCTGCGGCTTATTTTGCTACAAATATTTGGAGGTTAAAATCAAAATCTGTTACAAAATAAAATCCAGTTTGTTTTTCTACTTTACTCTTTAGTGGTCTTTTACACTATTATCCACATTAAACAAGGCCCAAGGGCCACTCAATGTAGATTTTTTACGAAATTGATTTGGGATGGAAGCGGAAGGTATAAGAAATGTAGATTATGAAAATGCACGGTGGAATACTGAATGGCAGCTCGGTTTGAGGAATCGGAAAGCCGAGTTCGAATTCCAGTCGAATCCTTTAATTCACTTACGTGTTAATAGCATTGGAAATGGTATGAATCCTCTTCTTCTCCCATCAGCTATGGTTAAATAACTTTATCTACTGCAGGAAGAAATGGCAACCTACTGCAGGAAAAATCTGCTTCGTCAGTCATGTATCGAAAGATACATGATCTCTTAAGCGTGTATCCGGCATGTCACATAACTGACTGTCTAAGATCACGAGGATATGTAGAATATATTACGATTAAGACTGAATTTGAAAATGTTGAGATTGTAGTCATTGGCAAAGCATCACCGCGGGGTCTTATATATAAAGTAGCGGTTCTCAAGTAGAAACTGAGTGTGATTTTCTTCTTACTAATGGAATAAGAAAAGAATCAGTACAGGGTATGGCGAGCCGTAGGTATTTGAACTGATGGAGGCTGAACCCTTTTCATGGAAATAGAGAGAGATAGAGAGTAGCTCGTAACTATTTGTCTCTGGGTAAATGCGGCGCAGGGTGTAAAATAAATACCCCTCCACCAACCAGCACGGTGGTGTAAACAATTTCGAACCCCAACGTAAGAAAGTAAATTTTCGTAAGCTCTGGCGCAGAAATGACAGCGATGTTCCATCTTTTTGTCCAGTCTGACACCTGTAAAGATATAACATGGTAAGAGAAGTGGTAAAAAAGCTGACCATGTATTTAGCGATTGATCGTACATTTGAAATATGGAATTAACTTGTCTCACTGGACATAATCTCGTAATTTTACGCAGCTCGTCGTGAGATCAAAGCCAAGATATTAACAGATATTACAAATATTTTGCAAGATGCTGGCTTCTCCGTGTGCAAAACTATTTTTTTCTTTGAGAAATAAAAATTCATGCATTATTTTGATGATATGACTTATATTTGTTTGTCTTTACTGCTAAAGATCATTATGCTAATTCTTATTCGATTTACTTCCTGTTTAATAGCATTTTGGGACTGCGTTTGATTTTGTAACTATTTCTTACAGTGGAATAAAGTGAATTATTCGACAGAGAAGTCCAGGACTGCTCCGGTTGTAAACTTTTAAAAGTCTGCAACTTCTTAAAAATCTTGTAAATTTATTCAACTGAACATATAGATTGAATATTACATCATTTAATTCTGAGCTCGTTAAAGAAAGGAAAAGAAGGAATTAATGGCTCGAGACATTGAGAATTCTAACATTTCTGTATGTTTTTATTTCGATGAATCCAATATCAAATAATGGTCTGATATCATTATTGGATTTAGAAAGTTCATATTAACAGCCGTGAAAAGAGAGAGTAAATGTCAGGAAAGAGTTTTGTCATCAGTAACAAAATGGATGAATACCATCCACAGATTTTGGACGAACAAGCATTGTATACATATACAACTTTGACATTAAGAGAACAATCAATTATATATCATTATTCTCCATGAAAAAAAAAACTTTGAATAACTTGGAAAACCTTCAGAGCTTTTAGGATTTAACACAGGATGTAGAGATTTGGAGAGAATTGATAAAATTTATTTAGAAAGTTGTTTAACACTGACAAATCGCACACATTTTCAGTGGGCTTTTAAGTCGAAATAGCTCTCATGATGAAGATATATGATAGATATTCTGTTGACCTATTCATATATGTCATTTACTACCACTAATTACCAACCGTCGACCGACAAGATGTTGTGTATATTCATCTTACGAATATGATAAAACTTGTTATACTAACAAAGTCCAGGATAAAAATTTTTGACTTCATTAGTGTGTTCCGTTCGTAGAAATGGCTCAAAACTAAACAAAATTTAGCAGAGTTATTATTCTGTGAAGAATGATCATAAACATCATAATATATATATATATATATATATATATATATATATATATATATATATATATATATATATATATATATCATATTGTAGAAACATAAAAAACATCAAGATGTGGATGTAATGTTAAAAGTACGCAGGTGTATGCTTTAAGAAAGCTTTATTCAACTGAGATTAAACGGTTCGCGTGTAGTGTCCTTTTTATAGTCCCAGTAAATAGAAATAACTCTCCCAAAGAGGAGATTAACAAAACAAGGGGAAACTACTCTTGATTATTCATAAGAGTGGAAACAACAAAACTAGTATTATTTATTATTTGGTTGTTAAGTATTCTTGGAGACCTTAAAGACTACTCAGTAAAATTGTGAATTGGAATCAAAAGTAGATCAATAATCAATCGGGATCCGACAGAATAAAATAAAGAATCAGCAAAATGTATACAGTTTTTATCGCATGTTTTTATTACACCTGTGTAGAATAAGAGTCCTGTTAATTTAGTTGTAAAATTAAGGAATTTTCCGAATTTTCGTACCAGGATTTTTTTTTTTTGAGTATTAAGAGAAAAATGTTACAATTGTGGCCTGAAAAAGAAAAAAAAAAGGCCGAAATTTATATTGACCCACGTCTTGACTTCGTATCCGACAGTTAAGTTGTCACGTGTTTGTTTGTGTAGAGGAGAAAATTGGAGTTGATTCTCATTGGTTCAGAAATAAAGAATTAATGATAATTATAATTGTTTTAATTATTTTTGACACTATAATTAATTTTTATTTTTTATGGACAAGTCAAAGTGACAATATAAACAATATTTTTTATTTGTTTAATTCTTATTAACAAGACGAGCGAGATCAAGTCACATCTAAATTGAGAGTGGTCACCTTCAAACTGCTACTTTATATTATTGGAATAAAATCGTAGAACATTTTTATTTATTTTATCATTCTGTATCTCATTCATGGATATATTTTGTATGTGATTTTATATCCATTTAAATTATTAAAATACTTTTTTTATATTTTAATACATTTTTTAATAATATCGTCAAGATCTGTTTATTCAATTCTTATTATCTTTATCAAATTTCCGAATTAGTTGTTTTATATAATCAGTAGATTTACCAAAATCCATTTTTATTTTTTATTTCTCGAGTACTTTTTTTTATATACGAGTACAGGATTTAGCTTGATCGTTATGAATGAGGTCAGCTTACGTGATCTGAAATTGATTCCAGCAAACAAGAGAACGCTGGAACTAACCAACAACAATTACTAAACAGACAGAAAACGAAATCCTTGAAAATGAATGTTAAATTTACTGATTATATAAAACATCTAATTCTGAAATCAGAAAAAAAAGGTAATAAAAAATTAAATTGACAGAATTTGTCGATATTATTCAATCAAACATGTTTGGAAGAATTCTTTATGCTTAAATACACTTTCTTTATTTTTTATCTTATTCGTAAGACAAATTGATTATGTTTTATCTTATTCATAAAATGAATTTATTAGAAATCCTCCTGGTTGTAAAAGTAAAATAGATAGATGTATTTTTCTGGTTTCTTTAATTTTATGAATACAAATAAAGATAGGAGTTATCACGTTAGACATCGACTACGAACACTTAAGTTAAAGTGTAAAACGTTTGCGCAATTGGCATGAATTTAGATCAGAAGGATTATAACATTTTAAGAGTGTATGAACAGGATTTTCAAAAGATTTCACTTATTGAAAGTTATCGGTAACACGTGCATATATTGATCATCTCATAACAAATGACCAAATCTACTAACATAAGAGAAACGTGCGCATATAATAATGTACAAAAGAGACTGTGAAAAGCGACTAAATATACGTATAGTTATTAGTACCCAAAGAAACAAGATTCATTAAATAAATTACATTTAACCACAACCATGAGATTTTAACATGTCTATAAATCGCTGGTTAATGTGATGTAATAAGTTTTCTCTTAGTCAACAATGGAAGGTGGTTCGAAGATTTGGATTACGTCAGAGTTAATATTATGGAGGATTATTATGGAGGATTGATTGGTGACGGACGAGTTCTTATTATGAATGTGGAAATTGTAATATATGAATCGGTTGCGAATCAGATTAGCTAGGTATAAGATAGTTAGTGATGACCAGCCTCAACCCCCCATTTCGGCCTTGTGCCATAGTTGTGTCATTTTTTCACAATATATATAGAGTTAATATTCGAAGAGAGAAGACATGTTTTTCAAAGCTCTGCTGATTTCAACGTCTTTTTAAGAATGTAAAAATATCGGATTAAATATTTAGTAAGGTAAATACAAATTTGAATAATAAATTGAATAATCATTATTGAATTAATAGTTGGAAAATTTAAACTTTATTGTAAAGGATTTGTAATTCAACACAGTCTTTTTTTCTAAGATTTGATTTCAAGGGGGAAAAATGAAATTTATGTCAAGCGGAGATTACAAGAATTTAACAGAATAAAAAAAAATACATTAATTTTAGGAAAAAGAAAAGAACAAAAAATATATCTTGTTTCTTTTTTACTGGAATCTGACCGTTGATTTTCTTGTGGCAGCATTAATAAGCGTAAAAGAAATTGTTCAAATTGTGAACGGTCTTTTCATTTATCTTGCGTAGGATTGCCTAGAAGTGCTTCAACGTCTCTGGTTGTTTGGAATTGTTTACATTATCTGCCTCTCTCGGCTCTAGAAGATAGTGTGATCCATCAACCAAATAGATGCCAGTGAAGTTTTGAGGGTAACCTCACGCCTTTAAAAATCCCTAAATCTGTCAGAATCCCGGTAGCCGATGCCTTGGCTACTTCCATGGACCAGGCACTTAACTTGAATAGCTCGCTTGACTGGGATCACCTTTTCTCTTTCGCAACACTTGTGTTCGGCATTCCTTACAATAAGGACCCTACATCATCTGTCTCATCTATTATAAAAAATAACATTTCTTTATTCAATTCGTCTAAAATAAATGCAAACGCATTTTCTAATCTCTCTAATCCTAATATATTTCATCCTTCATCTACAGTCGACGATTCTAAGAGACTCCGTGACCCCGTCAATGCTAAATTGATCGAGGGTGATGTCTCAGCTGCAGTTAGAGTATTGACCTCCTCCGATACTATACTAGCTACTAAACCAGAAGTTCTCACAGCTCTCCGTCGGAAACATCCTGCGCCACCATCAGATGTCAGATTTGTTCAGATGGAAAACAATGATTCAAATATTGAAATCTCAAAGAGAGTGATGGTGGCCGCTCTGAAGTCTTTCTCGGGAAGCAGCAGTGGAAGTGTGAACGGCCTACGACCTGGTCACATCAATGACTACCCACACTGCCGAAGCCGGTGAACATTTGAAGAGATCCACAACAGCTCTTATTATACCCTTTTCTGAGTTGCGATGCCCCAACATGCCAGTGATTTAATATTTTCAGCAAACAACGGCTTAAAAAAAAGACGGAGGTATCTTCCCTATTGCTGTTAGTAAAGTTTTTCGTCGATTTGCGGCATAACACTGCTTGTAGAGTTGTTGTGTAGGAGATAAAGCATGAATTGCCACCTGTCCAGTTCGGGGTAGACATACTGGGCGGATGTAAAGACGCGGTTCATGCCGCAAGATCATTTTCGAGAATGCATCACTTGTTTCCCCAGGTATCTTAATAAAATTTAATATTAAAAACGCTTTTAATGGAATCAGAAGGGATCATACCCTGGAAGTTTGCCATCAACGAACTCCTTCGATATTTAAACTGCCTCATCTTCCGTATAGTTATCCAAGTATTTTGATCGCCTCCGATAATATTATCTCTTCTGTTACTGGAATCCAGCAAAGTGATCCACATGGTCCGCTACTATTTGCAATGGCTGTTGACGGGGTAGCTCGTTCCATCACCTCTCCTTTCGATATATGGTATATTGATGATGCAACTTTGGGAGGATCCATCGAGGCCGTAGCTGCTGAACTCTGACGAGTTATTCCTGCTTTATCTCTGCTCGGATTTGAGATTAACTCGTCCAAGTCAGAGGTAATACACTTGAATTATAATGCAGATGATTTCGAGAGTGCTATCCGGGATATTAAACTCATTCTTGAGGATATAAAAATAACACCTAAGGAGGAATTAGTCATTCTTGGCTCTGCAGTCTTTCCAATAGCCATTCCAGAATGTTTGGATACTAAGCATGCCATTCTAAGAAGAATGACTGAGAAATCGCAATTAATTTATGCACACCCAACCCTCCTCTTCTTAAAGAACAGTTTTTCGCTACCGAGGTTCCTCTACACTCTCCGAAGTTCCCCTTGCTACCTCGAACACGATTTCTTAAATGTGATAGCTATCACAATTAAGAGATGCGCTGAGTTAATTTGCAACGTTAATTTCGACGACACAGGCTGGAGGCAGGGAAAGCTCCCTTTGAGTTTCGGAGACCTGGGCCTTCGATCAGCGGCAGAGTTGGCCCTTCCAACATATCATTCTTCCCTTTCTTCCAGCTGTGAATTAATTGATGAGATACTCATTTAGTGGATCGTCTCAGTGTTTCTCTGGTAGTTCTTTCGAACAAGCTTACAGCGTCTGGGCCGAAGAATTACTTTCTAACCTACTAAACACATCAAAACAAAAAAGCTGGGATAAAATAAAATGCGAGGTCAATTTTACTAATTTGAGCCTCTCTCTGGATCAGCATCGACTCGTCTGTCGGCTTCTGCTTCACAACCGAGTAGTGGCGCCTAGTTCAACTCAGTACCCTTTTCATCTACCTGTACCGTTTATAGATGATGGAATGTCTTGGGCTCACATTATGCAAGCATCACAGATGCAGATGTGGAGCTTCTATTGATCTCTTCGGTTTGCCTCCTCTCTCCTATCGTTGTAGTTTCACTTTCCAAGGCCTGCAGCTATAAGCGACGTCACCAGAAGAGGTCTGGATGCAGCTGGGTTTCATTCCCAAATCGAACTCTTAGGCCTCGACCGTGATGATGGAAAGCGGCTGGATGGCATTACCATTTTTCCTTTTAAAATGGTGGAGTTTATTTGATTTGTCCGGAAATCTGATCAGGTTCGGGGTTGAGCCGGGATCCGTCGCCCAGCATGTAGAGATTTTTAAAAAATAGTTAAATATTCTTCTCTTGATGATAGATGTTTCTTTAATCCTGTGGCAGTGGAGTGGTTATTGGCCTTCGTTCGATGGCGTTCCTTCGGAGAATTGGCGCGTTGGCGTCTCGATTAAGGGACGAGCCTCATGAAACAGAGTGGCTCTTGCAGTGTGTTTCCCTGTCAATGGTGCGAGGTAATGCTTTCTCCATCATTACGGCCGGCAGAGGATAACAAAAAAAGGAAAAAAAAACAGTTTGTTTATAGTCACTTTGTTCAAGCTTTTTTCAATAAATTCATTTTCTTGATAAAAAAATATGTGTAATCTAATTACCATCGACATTCATCTTTCTGATAAAATAGAGAAACGTACTACTTTTCTTGCAGTCATCACGTAATAAAAATCACTACTCCACTGAATATTACTTATTGATTTTCAATTATCTCTGTTTTACGTCCGTATAAAAATATATTATATATATATATATATATATATATATATATATATATATATATATATATATATTCTGATCACCTGATCCAGTTTTTCTTTCTAATGTTCTCTCTTTTTTTAACCTTATATACCGTTCGCTTCATTGTTCTTAAATTGACATTGAAGATGGAAACCAGTCTATGCAATTAGATACCATTACTGAAGGCCTGAATGATATTTTTGCGCTCACCATTGCTCAGCTGGGAAAACATAGTGGGGCTAACAAAAAACGATTTTAAACTGTTCTCTTTCTAGCTGAAATACTCAAAGGGTTTTTTCTGTGACTCTTACAAATGGTGCAAGGATGGCTAGACGTCTTATCTGGAAAACACGGAAAAAAAATCTCAATTAGTTTATTTTATCTTCTTAGATTTTAAACATTTTATAGGATGGGAAATTATCCGTCGTAACAAAAATTTTGTCGTTACGATTTATATATATATATATATATATATATATATATATATAAATATATATTAATCATTTCAAAGGGCGGGAAGCCACTTTACTGAAAGTTTAGAGCAAGATCAGATAGGAGTGATAGAAGAAAGGATGAGGGTAGTGGATAGATCAAGGCAACTGGGGATGTCGATTGACATTACATAGCTGGAGATTATAGCTCACAGGGAAACAAGAATAGGGAAGGGGGTTCCACAGGCGAGAGGTGCGAGACATGAAGCTTTTAGAGTAGAAGAGACGGCTACATTTAGGAGTTTCGACAGTGAAGTGGTGAGAGCGGGATGCCAGCCTCGTAAGGCGCTGGAACTCATGACGTCTGGGAACCAGCGAATGCAGCTCCTCGGAGCAATTTCCATGAAAGTATTTGTAAAACAGATAGAGAGAAGCGACGGCGCGTCTTTGAGAAAGTGACTGTAAACGAGACGCCAGGGCAGGGCCAACTACATTGCATATCCGCCTCTGAAGCCTATCAAGAACACCGAGGCAAACAGAAGGGGCTCCAGACCATATATGGCAGCAATACTCCATACAAGGGCGAATTGCTGATTTGTAGATCTGGAGGATCGACTCCGGGGAGAAAAATTTCCTGGCGCGGCTCAGGGAGCCAACAATCCTTGCGGTGGACGAGGCAATTGACTCAATGTATTTATTTCATCTCAGGTCAGCAGTCAACGTGAGACCGAGAAGCCGCAGAGAGTTGCTCTCGAGAAGTTGAGCGTCAGACATTCTCATGAAGACAAGGGACGGATCTCTGTGGTGGTTAATAGAGAGCAGTTTTGTCTTAGAAGCGTTGAAGTTGACCAGCCAATTCATGCCCCAGTTCACAATCGATTGGAGGTCCTTTTCGAGACGCACGGCAAGGTGAGTTTTGTCAGCGAGACTAGATTTGTTTTTGAGGTAGGAATAAATTGTGGTGTCATCCGCGTAGATTCCAACTTGGGAAGTTATGGCGTCAGGAAGGTCATTTATGTAGATAAGGAATAGAGTGGGACCTAGGATGGAGCCTTGAGGAACACCTGCGTTCGTGGGATAGGAACTGGATGAGAATCCGTTGAGAACGACCTTCAATTCACGGTTTGACAGGAATGATTGTATTCGGTTATATAATCGACCCGTAATGCCATAACCCTGAGCTTGCCAAGAAGGCCGGCATGCCAAACCCTATCAAATGCTTTGGAGATGTCTAGGGCCACGGCTCGGGCTTCCTCGTATATATATATATGCGTGTGTGTGTGTGTTTGTGTTTGTGTTTGTGTCTGTGTACAATATATATATATATATATATATATATATATATATATATATATATATATATATATATATTACCAAAACGCTAATGTTGTCTCTATATACATAATACTCCAAGTAATTTATGAGTATATTTTGCCTAAACCCCAGCCGAATACGGTACCATACAAGGGGGTTTTGACCTGGGGTTGTTATTTCTCTGCTTTATGCCATTCTTTACAGGATATCGAGTATTCGTTTTTCATACATATTCTTATATCAATCAGAGTATATAAGCAAATACTTTCATATTATATTCTAACTATTATGTATGGGAAAAATGATAAATATTAATAAGAAATTATAAGAACATTATTAAATAAATTTAAATATGCATGACAACATATATTTATACATTTCATTACATTATAATTTTTTATAACGAGATTTCTAGGACGTTTGACAACAGCTTGAGAGGTGAAGAGGCTATGTGCGTGTGTCATTGTAAATTTTTGTCTCTATGTTTTTAAAGTTGGGTCACGTGATTTGTTGGTAAATCAATACATGCTGGTTTGCCACCGTTATCTATTTTAAAATAAACATGAGGAAGAAACAAGTCTGTATAATAAAAATAGAATTACAATTTATATTACAGGTAAAATTCAAACTAATGAGGCAGCCATACTGTATGCTATTTTAATAAATATATAACTCTCCTTAAGCAGTGGATTAATCATTTATTTTTGTTTTGTGAATAACCTTCACCTTTGGGAAATTTAATAAGGTAAGTACCAAAATTATTATCACCTCGGGGCTACTATTAATTGAATGGAAATGGATTTAGTGTAATATCATTTTGCAATTTCATTCTGGAAAATAGTGAATATTCTCCTTCAGGACAGAGTATGCATTAATAAAATGGAGGTTTCAAATTAAAGCTAGATTATAATCCCTGAATAATGGTCGGCCTCCTCATATGGCATTCTACTATTAGCAAATTATTGTTCGTTTTGATAATTTAACCTCTTTGACTAAATTTCCAGCTGAATTTCATTAAGAAAATATATGAATTGTTAAACAATTAAATTTATTTTAATTCCATCATATTTATAATTTTTATAAGATTAAATTTGTTCATGTTTTTATTCTGAATTTCTTTAAAAATTCTTAAAAACTTTCCATTTATTCAATTATTGCTGCAATTGGTCTAAGTGATATTGTATAATGGGAGTAATAATAATAATAATAACAATAATAATAATAATAATAATAATAATACAATACAGTTATAACAAGACCTTATTTTGCAAATACAAATTAAAATATGTATAAGCGAATGAAATGGAGAGCTGCGCATGATATGGAAATTGAGTAAAGTTTGTTTTATGACGTTGTCAAGCATGGCTCTCCACAGCTTTCTGCATTTTGCTGTTTTAAGTAACTTATGACAGTTTGCTAGTCATTTTTATGTATTGGGTTGATGGATTTTATAACCAGGCGTTTTTTATACAATATTTATTATGAAAAAAGAAACATTACATTTCAACAATAACATTTTAAATGATTATTTCAGAGCGTATGATTATCGACACACATTTTTATAACCTGAAAATAAAATAATATTTTTATTTAAAAAAAAAAGTAAACAAAACAGCAATTTTCATTAACAAATATCTTGCCTAAAAAACAAACAAAC